CGAAAAGCTAGTAAATTTTCCTAGTTCAACACTCTGTAGTATTTGTGAACATCCATTTGCAGTCAATAGAAAAACGCTCAAAAGCGTGCTTACACGCTGYCATGGTTGTAAGACTATACATCACCAATCACCCAGAAGTAACAAGCAAGAAACTTTTAATCTAAGTAGCGATGAAGAATGAGCATTGTATTTTTACGATAGTTTACAAATAAAGATGTTTTACTCTCCAACGTTTTCCTTTGTATTTGAATAATTAGGTAGAACTTCGTAAGTCTTATTCTTTGTGGTTTATGAGTCATTAATTGTATTGTGTTGGATACAATAGTCACTAAATTATATAATTCATAAAAGAATTATGGAAGGATGTTATCAAGAATTTGGTCAACACATAAGATTGTTTCAAAAAAACATTTATTTTCATTAGAAATATTACACATGAGTAATTACATCTAAAACTAAAATAGACTGAAATTAGTTCCACGCATGCTATCGGATTTAGAAAGCTTGTTTGATTTCTGTCTTTTCTTGGGAGGTTCATTTTCTTTGCCTCYTTGCTGTCTTTTAGCGAAACCTTTTGACTTAGGGTTCGTAGCTCGTGGATCAATTACTTGTTGGTTCTGAATTCTTGTTTGATCTCCGGGTTGGGTGGATATAGGACTGGTTTCTGCCATAACGTTAACCATCTCACTTAAGTCCGTGATGACTTTTTTCAATTCTTCAAACTCTTGAAAGGAAAGAGATACTCCATACTTTGTTGGAACCTTTTCSGCGTCAGGAAAATCAGTGTATTTTCGGATGTRGATCAGGATCTGYCCTTTGAATTYATTGACGGTAGCATGATATCCTCGAGATCCTAACTGGAATAACGTTGCCATTGCGTTTCTCAAAAGTAATTTTTTTAGGTCTTGCTTGGTTGGTTGGTTGAGTTTTGGAATAAAAAAATTCAAAATCCCCGCGCTCTATAAATTAGATTGCTAAACAAAAGACTTGCACAAACTTGCATAACAATACCTACCCGTCGTTTTATGGTAACGATTTAATAAACAATAGTCGCTCGTCATTTTATGGTAACCATTTAATAAACAATGGAGGTGCCCATCACTGGCCCACCATTCCCGAAACAAAGACTTGTTCATATCGGTCAACAATAATCTTATGACGTCAATTGGTCTCCATGGTAACCCGAAACAATACCTACCGGTCGTTTTATGCTAATATTTGATGAATAATTAATGTGCCCACCACTAGCCCACCGCTAGCCCACCACTAGCCCACCACTAGCCCACCCAAAATCCGGCCCGTGCTGCCCCTACCCTACTACTTTCTTTGTTGGAACAGATTTAATTTCAGAGGGGAGAGAGTTCCACATCTTGCCTCTGTAATAGAAGCTACTCCTGAAAAGTCTGTTTTGGGGGTGTATCGTACTTCAATTTGATCGCTCCCTCTTAATTTAGATTTATAGGTGCTCGAATCCGAGGACCTCATATTAAATAAATTGCTTAAATATGATGGGCAATTTTCATGGAGAACGCCAAACATGAATAAGAACAGTCTTTCCTTTCGTCTTTCGTGCAATTTGTCCCAGTTTAACTGTTGCAAAATGTCAGCAGACCTCACATCATAACCCTGATAGGTTATGATGCGAGCAGCTCTGTTTTGAAGCTTTTGAAGACGTTCTGCTTGACCCTTGTTCAAATTGCTCCAAACAAGGTCGCAGTAGTCAAACGTGGGCTGTATTAATGCTTTATACATTGTAATAAGGGTAGAAATTGGAACAAAATCTGGAATTTGTTTTAAACCGTAAATCGACTTGCCAACCTTTTTACAAATATGATCAATATGCGTATCCCAATTTAGATTATGGTCAATATAGACCCCAAGATGTTTAAGAGAACTAACTTTCTTAATGCCTGAACCATTAATCTCAATACTGTACACAACATTGCATTCTATCGTGTAAATACGATTTGAAAAATTCTAGACTTATTCCATTAATTCCATAGTATTGTAGTTTGAAAATTAAGATTTGATGTGATACGGTGTCAAAGGCTATAGCTAGATCTAAGGCTACTACTAGATTAGTCAAGACTTTGTCCATATTGGCATACCATTCATTTGGTTGCATCAAGCAGAGCAGTTATCCAAAGGACGAAAGCCTGACTGATATTTTTTAATCTGCTTATACACTCGATGTAGGGGGTTGCTAAATTGCGAGTCTGCGAGCCCGAGTCTCAGATATGCAAGCCGCGAGCCTTTTTTAGCGCCAATACATAATTTCGCCCCAAAACATGAATATTATGGTCTAGAACTCAAGATGGAGGATGCCTGTGAAAAGGTGAGTAAAGTAAATCTCATTTAGTTAGAAATCTGCTTTAAAATATTGGATTTTTTGTCTTAAAAATCCTTTAATGACCAAATTATATTAATGTCTCATAACTGCGGAACTCCCTTCGCGTCCATTTATGGAACTGACCCTTGTTTTTTTGTGATTTCAGTCTGAAATTTAACGATGAAGCGCACTGCAGTTTACATGTGGAACTCTGCAATTTTATTATGCACTTCATTAATTCATTATTTACTGCCTAACGCGACATTTAGAGAAAAGATTACCCCGAGGGGCGGAACACAAACCGAATGAAGTGTTAAATATTGTCATAAAGTGTAACAACTTTATTCACTAAACAGGACGTAAAACTCTTGATTGTTTTTAAGTTTGCAGTAACTTAAAAGRCGTCATACTCAACTTATCAACTTATCTCCCRGGTTCGTGCATCCACCAGGTAGGTGAATATGAAGCATATAGTAGTCTCCTACAAAAAAAATAGTTCAAAAATACAAAAGTCACGGTATGCTTAAACTGAAGGATCGCAAAGTAGGCTCGTGGCTCGCACACAGAGGCTCAGACTCGCAGACTCGCACTTTAGCTAACCTCCTCGATGTAGCATACACTTAACATAGTGATCAAGGTGGTTAAAAACTGCCTTCTCACACAGGTTTGATAAAATAGGCAGAAAAGAGATAGGCCATAATTACTTGGATCATCTCTATCATTAGCTTTCTTCCACTCTGATGGAAAAATCCCTAATGAAAGGGATTTGTTGACGATATTAGCTAAGAGAGTGAAAGGGAGAAAGAAGGAGAGTAGAGGGAAAGAGATATTTGGATATATGTTATAGGGGTATCATATTTGTTATTTTAAAAATACACGACCACATCACCAACGCTGTAAAACTTATGGTGCCTAAATAAATGTAACCTCTGGTTTTATTCACTTTGGTTAACGGTTTCTACACTCCAACTACTTGGATCCGTAGGACATGGCAGGTTCACAAACTTGTTACTGTAAACTATTTTGACCTAGTTTAAAACGCTTTCTACCAACGCTTTGACAGCCAAGATCCCCAACTGCCCCCAACGCGCGCATGGCTCTGTTCTTAAATACGCCGCACCCTCTCTCTTGAGACCTACACGGGCTTAAGCCCATTGCAATACCTTCCGCTTCCCGGGAGCCCTGTTAGAAATATCATTATTAATTATTACTATTATTAACTACACTACAGTAGCGCCGTAGCTACACGTGCCACCACGTGCCATTCTTGGAGAAATTCCACATCAGTCAGCTGTTTTTTGTCACCATGTCCTCAGCTCTCCAAAATACAAAACGACGGACGATTCAGAGCTAACACAGTTAACTTAACGAAAACTTATCTTCCAAAAACTGAGAAGAATCCCATTTGTTTCTTTGCCAAATKTTTAGTCGATTTCTACTGATTATTGAATTAAACATTAATCTTCACATCCTTTATACATTGACCATAGACCGCTCGCCATGACTTCAAGTAGATCAACCCAGACATTGTTAATGATAAAATCTGTAAGCTAGCAGTGTACCGCCTGACTTACATCATCAGCCCAGAGGTTGATTCTGCAAGGGCGCTAGGACAGACGGATTGGGTTTTAAATATGTGTGATTGTTTCAGTTATTCGTAGATTTCTAATTGAATTGATATATGTTCGTTTCCAAATGGATACTACTGGTAAATAGTGTTCACTTATCTTTCCCATCCAACGGTCTTTCTGGTTCGAATCAGCCGTACGATATGAATATATTTACCACGTCCACCAACGGTCTTTCTGGTTTGAATTGGCTGTACGCTCTGAGTATTTACCGCTGCACTATCAGTGCCAAGCAGCGGCGGCGTCGCTTCGTTAGCGATTACTCTCCTTTAATTGAGTTAATCAAATTTACCTTCAGTACAGTAAAATAGACCGTACTGAAGGTAAATTTGATTAACTCAATTAAAGGAGAGTAATCGCTAACGAAGCGACGCCGGCGCTGCTTGGCACTGATAGTGCAGCGGTAAATACTCAGAGCGTACAGCCGATTCAAACCAGAAAGACCGTTGGTGGACGTGGTAAATATATTCATATCGTACAGCTGATTCAAACCAGAAAGACCGTTGGAAAGGACGTTTACTAGCTTTTAAAGATAAGTGAACACTATTTAGTATCCATTTAGGAACAAATATATATCAATTCAATTAGAAATCTACAAATAACTGAAACAATCACACATATTCAAAACCCAATCCGTCTGTCCTGGCGCCCTTGGATTCTGGGTTCAATATGTCAGTTAGCCATAGTGCCCTGACTTAGATCAGCCCAGAGGTTGTTTCAGGGTTCTATCTGTGAGTTAGCCGTGCCCTGACTTAGATCAGCCTAGAGGTTGTTTCAGGGTTTGATCTGTGAGTTAGCCATGCCCTGACTTAGATCAGCCCAGCGGTTGCTTCAGGGTTCTATCTGTGAGTTAGCCATACCCTGACTTAGATCACACCAGAGTTTGTTTTAGGGTTTAATCTGTGAGTTAGCCGTGCCCTGACTTAGATCAGCGCAGAGGTTGTTCAGTTTAGGTGAACCTAATCTGGAATTTTTTATTTCTTTGTGACGTAATGACATATTTTTCGTGCGCTGACGTTAAATAAGAAATACCCGAATACCAGTTTATTGTTTGATCTCAATTTATTTCTTTATAAGTTAACATGGTTATACAGTAGTTCTATCCATCGGTAAAATATCAGATTCCATTGTATTCTGGTTTCACGCAAGGCTATCTTATCAGTGTTGGTCATATTTCAAACCGTCATCACTTTATATCATTGCTTTATTAACTTTCTTTTGTTGTTGTTGTTTTTACCTTTCCATGCTTAAATTATTCATCATTATTAGACATCGTCTAAACAAGTACAATGTCATATATTCATTTGTCTCATTCAAGCATGTCGGGCTCCACAGCTTCCATGATCTTGGACCTTTGTATTTGTCTCACGCGAAAACGTTGACGAGAATGGATTGCCGCTTCAGCCTGTCAAGAAAGTTAATATATATTAGCATAAACCTACTAGCATACTATCACGAATCCTGCAATCTGATTGGCTAACGTACTCACTATCAATCCTGTGATAGATAGCGAGGGGCGAAAAATAAGCAAGTGCATGGTCAAGTTTCGTCGAAATCTCTGCTTGTTCTATAAAAAAATCTTTAAAAATCGGTTGTAGAAAAGACAAGACTGTATCAGGGAAAGGAATTGAGGTTTTGAACGGTACAGATAAGTAAAAACTGAAGAATTATGGCAATTTTAACACGAAAAAGCGGCCGTCAGATTTCGCTGAGATTTTCATGTGCAAACTTTACGACGGACAAACAACTGACAACTGAGATAACGATGACATTTTAAAAGATTTCCTCAAAGGACAGAAAAAATCCAAAAGACAACTTATTCACATGTATTCAAGAAGAATTTTAAACGGTAAGAACAGACGAAACAATTAAGAAAGTGCAAGTTAACTGACAAGAATCTTATAATAAGCAAATTGTAAACATGGCGCGGCTTTGAATGATCTGACAACAAAGCATTTGTAAATAAATTATTTCAGTTTATCACTCATTAATTAGAAAAATGATCCCAAGAACTGATAAGATAAAAAACAGAGAGAAAGAGAGTTTTGACAGTAATAATAGAGACAAAAAGCTATAAAAATAGAACAAGTTTAACAGTTTACGTTAATACTTCGAGTCGAGTTCGCGAATATGAATGAAAACAGCATAATATTCTATCCTATGTATTGTTATTAATGAGGTATGAGGCATCCACTCTGGCCTGGAACAATGCCCAGGTAACCCAGAGTGTAATGTTTTTTATCCCGCTTGCTCGCGGGTGAGGCGGGTAGGTCGACGTCTGTACTCTTCCCGTTAATTTGAATGAAGTGGCACCAGAGGGACCACGCTTCCCTTTATATAATATACTCTATTTGCATATTACAATTCCCTAGGGTATTCATCATAATATTCACAATGACTGAATAGTGCTGCCAGTTGACCGTCGCTTTGTACAGTAAAGTTTTCAGTGTCATTTTTTGTTTTTAATACTATATTATTAGCTAGTAGTTGTTTTATGCTAAAACAATTAGACTACTCGTTCTCGTTTTCTATGAGTCAAATAGTCGATTCGGCGTTACGCGCCTCATCGACTATCTATTGACTCATAGACTAATTTTGGATTATTATGTCTCAAAATGAATTCATAATGATTATCGTCCACGTAGCACGAAAGGAAACCGAATGGATCTAAAGACTACAGTTAACTGCACCTTGTAGTACGCTCACTCATTATAAGTTACCAATTATAAAACAGACTACAGTACTTTACATTTCGTAAGCCACTGCTTTCCCTTTTGCGGCCGGGGCAACGAGGTGGACACTTTCCCCATAAACAATATGACTGTGACACGAATAGTGACAAGAGTAGCATGACCACAACACTGCTAACTTTCATCTTACTCAACTGTGATATTAACTGTTGGAAAAAAAGAGAAACAAATAAAACGATTGGGAGTAAGAAAAGAAATACGAGAGAAGGGAAGAAAAACAGAAAAGAAAATGCGACTAGGAAAACAGGAAAATTAAAAAAAATAAATAAAGAAGAAGATAACGAAACCATCATTCACTGTCTGGCTGTTTAAATACCCCTAAAGTTTGACCATATATGGTCATTTGGCGGGAAATTTGAATTTCTTTCATTAGCTGAAACTTTACGCCGTTGTATCCGAATGAGATGGGGTTTTCACTGTAAATATGCTTTTTGTGTAGCAAAAATATCTATAACACTTTTAACTCTACTTTACAAATTTTTAACGTTGTTACTAAAAATAGGTGTTACTTATGACGTCATAATTTCAAGAAAAGTCAAACATACCGTTACTATTGTAAAATTTAGAATTTTTTTTCCTAAATAGCACGTTTCAATGTCTTGATTTATTTGGAATGGAAACTACTCTTCTGTAAGACAAAATGTGAATTTAAGACCCTTGCGGGAGAAAAAGCCATAGCAACCGACCTATACCTTTAATGATAGTAGTTTCCTGGCTGATCTTGGTAGATAGTAAAATCGATTGATAAAATGGTGTTCAAGAGCAATGCTTTAAATAGCTAACTTTTTGACGCAGATCTACTAGCAAAAGACTACACACCAATATTTCTTGAGTGAGAAAAAGGACTCTTGCTTTCGGTTCGATATAAATTGATCACGCACTTGACACAACTCGAGTTCGTTTTATTTCGTGTCGGCCATAATAATAATAATAATAATAATAATAATAATAATAATAATAATAATAATAATGCCTTTATTAAAGAAATGATAAAATACATATCATTAACGTGATTACAATCATAAAACTAAAAACTGATTAAAAGTAACTAATTACTAAAGATTATTCTATTTACAAATGAGTTTTTAAAACGTTGAGAATTAACTCTAGGTCTAATAAAATATGATTT